ATATATATATATATATATATATATATGGAATTTTAGTTGTTAAGCATTATAAGAGTGACAGTGGAACAAGTTTACTATATAATCTCAAACGTTCCAATAGATTAAATCAGTTATTTAAAACCGGAGATAACGTTTATCTTGCAGGATGAGGAGGAACTGTATTTATCGGAGAAATTCATTTCCTCTTACACTAAGCGAGTTTTTCCAGAAGTTTATTTTCAACAAAACAAAGGCGGACGTTATCGCGGCTTTGGCAGCGATTTGTCGATTAGACTTCCTGTGAAGTCGTCAACATATTGCAGTATTTTTTGTTGAACAGTAACATCTCCTTGTTTTCTGAGCGAAAAATAAATAAAATCTGGTGAAATAATTTAAATTATAAAACTTTTATTACTAATAAAAACCATTTTATGCAAAAATTGATTAACAATTTCTGGAAAATGAATGGAAAACAACATTTAATATCTGATAAATACGCATCTTTGCCGTTTCTTAGTGTCTAAAAACACTTCTTAACATGTACGGTATTAGTTTTATACAACTGCTGTTAAATTTAAAAATTTGACTGATGATTCAACAGTTTCAAATGTTGTTCAGAAATTCTAATTTATTTCTTACCAGATAATTTAACTAAAAAACTAGACTAAAAAAACATTGATCAAACATTAAAGATCAACTGTTGAAATTAATGTTCTGTTAGTAAACCGGTAGAAACGTTATTACTCAATAAACTTATACCTGCTTTCTAATCCAGTGGTCTAGATAATTTGTCGAAAAAATAAAACTTTTGCTACAAATACGATTTGATTACATAGAAGAGTTGTTCTAGTTCTAACTGTGCAGCAAATGCAGATTGAGGTTTTTTGGAACACCTAGATCTTATTAGCTTAACTTCAGTAACTGCTAGACACTTGAAGGTTGGAACTTAAAAAGCAGAAAAAAAACTATTTTATCAATCTACTTTAGAGTTTTAAAGTCTTTTTTGTCGTCGGCAGTATCAAAAAAAAATTTTTTTTTGAATACTAAATAAAAATAGTTGAATTTGAAGTAACTGGAAGCAAAACTGTATTTCTTGAGACTTTCAGTAAACTACTATTCATACACCTTCAGTTGTCTGTCATAGTCCAAATTTTAAAAGTGTTGTCACTACAATTATTCGCGCATTTGAAAATTAATAATAAAATGTTGATAAATTTTCGTTTTTTTTTTTTTCAAGTCGTTTTTGATAAAAACAGATTGTAGAACATTAGTGAGCAAGAAATGTAAGAATAGGATAGCCAAATATTGGGCAAAATATCGCTTAAGACGTATACGAGGTTGTCGCTGATACTGGTGATTGTTAACAATTTTTCTGAACGTTGAATAGTCGCCGCTGACTGAGCAATGAGTTATTTTCTTTTAATTGATAAAAGTAAATTAATCAGTTCATATTTAACAGAAACAATAAAAAACATAAAAAATTTATTAACAATAAGTTTATAATTGATCTAAGATACTTGTATCTGCAGTTGACAAATAAGAGTACGCTATATACCTTGTAGAATGTTGGAAGGAAAAAATCTTCTCATTTTTTTCCTCTTTTAACTTTTTCATGACAAAAATTACACTGTATTATAAATGCACCTCTTAGCTTATATCATTATTTAAGTTTATAATCTAATTACACACTAAGCATTTTTAATTATGAAAAGATATGATATAACGGTAAAGCTTAAAGCTGATACGGTATCGACAGGTATAATCTTTTTTAAAAACAGTCAACCAAATAGAAGAATGTTGGTTTTTTTTTTCGATCTCATGACAGTTTAATGAAGTCAATAGCTATGAAATTAATTCAGCACAAAATATAGTCTATGTTTCGTTACTTTTACAAATTTATTCAACCAGTAAACGATAATGATGATAATGAAGTTTTGCTAAAGCACTGCAACTCCAGCGAAAAACAATTGCAATAAGAGCAAAAGATCTTCAAAAATGCAGTTAAGCGAATATTTGATTAAGCCTTATTAAAATAAACCAACCTGTGACACTGATATTGTTCTTATTACTATTAGTACCGTTCATAACTTTTGTTTTCTGCTTTTTTTTTTCAATGCTTCCTGTT